TACCGAGGAGAGGGGCGGCTCCCCTCCCCGAGAATGCGTCGCGAAATTTTCGAAAGTTACTTAAATGTGCTAAAAATGTGCAAGCGACTTGTTTTTACTTGTAAATGATTGAAATAATTTTTAAAAATTCAAATTAGCCTTGTAAAAAAATTTTTTCCCTTTTTTTGAAATTTCGAGATTAAGGGCCCGCAAAAATTTTGAGAAGCATCACAAAAAAATTTTCGGATTGCGTGGCTAACCACCTTCATGCGAAAAATTTTTTATTGCACCTCGCCCAACGGAAATCCTGCGTACGCCACTGCTAGGAGGTCATACAAAAGCTGAAAATTGCGGCTTGTACAACTTCTCGCTCCTGTCAGTATTTTATCGTAGTGAAGGATAGTAGGAATCTTAGGGATGAATGGATAGCGTGAATTCTTGACTCTGGAGCTTCAGGAAATGAAGCTTTCCTTTAAGCTGCGATCCCCTCTCCATTTTATTTCACCTTTTATGTTTCACATGTGTCGCAATACGGTTAAAATACTTTTCATCCTGTACGGCCACTTCGACCAAAAGCGCTTCCCTTGAGGTAAAGATCGTCCCCACCACAGCGGAGATGTAGGTACACACGGTCTTAGCAATGGCGGATCGAGGCCCCCGAGTATGAGTCATTTGCGCTACGCTCCCTCCTTTGAGAATCTCGGGGTTATAGAACCGCAGGAAGATTGTGAAGCATTCCAAATAATTTTTCGAATGGGGCGGGGGAGCGGCATTTGCGAATGCCACGGCTCTTTATTCGGAGAAAAATTTCCATGGCTTCCCTCCCCAATCTAATCTATATGATCGAAGGGTGTCTGCGTATCAGCGTCCAGAACGTTTTTCAAATCTAACTTGTGCGCTTGATCGTCTAGGCAGATTCCTTTTCGAAATCCAATCCCAACCCAGGCACCTTTTCTGGGCTTTTTGCTTCTGAGGCTCATCGCTTGTTACTGTTGTGCTGACCCAGGCTCCATCAAGTATGGAAACGTCAGCGAAGAACATGCAATCTAGAAGGTGCAGGTAAGGGTGGACAAGGTTTTTTCTGAAAAGATTTGTGGAGATGCATAGTTTTGCATCGAAACGCTGAAGAGTTGTTTGAACTGCAGCTGCTGTTGCAGCTGGACGACCGCAGCGGTGGCCTCCATTGTATATCGCTCGAAATTAGTGCCGCAGGCACTTGTGCGGAAAGAAGTGACTATGCTTGTCGTGTCGACCAACTGAATGACTATGGGCCTCGTATTTCTTTTCGTTCCTCGTATCTCTGGCGCAGTGTGTGCAAAACATGGCTATATTATGTTATGTACTAGCAGCCCGGAAAAAATTCCGAGCAAAGATCGTTTTGCTTATCCGGGCTTATCCTACCCATTAGCTATTAAAGAAATTTAGCTTAGAGCACGGAAATATCGAATACGGTATTCCAGAGCCCGTGAATGAGAATTCGGACATATGCCGCCAAAATTAAGAGGCAGAGTCTTGTGAGACCCTATATCTTGACCGTGTGCGATATTCGCCCGGCTTGCTGTTTGAAATCGATGGACGACGCCCACAAGAGACGTGCGCGTCATGCTCTCTAATGCGGCTTTCTCGCACCAGAAGCAGATTGGTACATTTTGCTTGGGCAAGAGCATCATCAGGATGGGCGCCATCGCACTCTGCGTTTTTCTCATTTTCGTCTTACCTGCTTGAATGCTGCCTTCAACATCAAATATGCGAGATTGTGCTGTTCTATGTAGATTATTATAGGACGAATAAAGGAATTGAAACTAGATAAGCGGGGTACTTCGATTGATTGGCACAAAGATCGGTAAACAGCACCCCACAAATTTGTCTGCCTCCGTTAGTTGATCCAGTCACAGATGATAATATCGCTCAGTCTTAACCGGAGGTGGAGGGGGGGGGGGGTTTGTTTGGCACTTTTCCGGGTTTCAAATACGAAGTCTAAGAGAATTTCTGGCTAATCACGATAATATTACCAGAGCTTCCGAATTGACGCTTCGAACACGTTGCCTAAACAAGCTTGATCGCATGATTAACAGACTTATACGTATAAACTCATTTAGACTTGTTTACTATTTGGAATGAGTTGAGAACGAGTTTAAGTTTAAATCATTCCATTTATTGCATAGGGGAGACCCTATGAAATCCAAAACAACGAAACAACGCAAAAAACAAAAGAAAACAAAAACGCAATTAAAATGTAAGGTTATGTGATACTGTCAACCCGTGTTGGTAACAACATTTCACTGAAACTGTAGATAGCTCCTTAAAGTGGCCTCAAACGAAGACAACTTTCCAGGAAAAAAGCGTTTTCTAATGAGCTTATACGTGAGGTCATAACACGACAACATGTGAAAGAATATCTGCGCACATTGTGTCTTGGCGAGATAATCAGTTTCCTACTCAGGGCTCAGCAGATGTGGCGCTTTCACACGCTGGATGTCGTTTTTTGAGGGGCAAAGGGGAACACGTAAAGTTTCGACCCGAAACCTGACGAAGTATTGGAAAGCACAATTATAACTCTTACAAGGGAAGGATACTTGGATGCCGTAGCCATTCATAATGATTTGTATACCGAAAAATGCGCTTTCAAATGCTGGTTCGTAAACTGTCTTTCATGTCTGCGAAACGATAATCTGTAAGGAGTTACGATTTTTTTCATTAAAAAAATTGCGTTCCTGCGGAGGGTCAAAATCATCAATAAAAAAACTTTCTCTCCTTTCCAAATGCTGAGTATGATCCAGATAGTCTAAATAAATATTACTACGTCTAAAATTTTCTTCACTAGCATCAAACGGTAGGCTAGATCAAATCTGGTGATTTTTACTATCCAAAAGTAGGCTAAATTTCCAAGGGAAAAAGTTCATAACTTTCTTCAAAAGATCGTTTCGCAGATTTCGAGCACAGATTCAGAATCTGCATTCGAAGGCGCATTTTTTGGTATACAAATCATTAGGAATGGCCGCGGCATCCAAGTATCCTTCCCTTGTTAGAGCAAGCCCGAACTGGAACGTCTGGCGTAATTATACTAGTTACAGATAATTTAATACGTTATAAATTCGACTAGTGTATAAACCTGTCCGCACGCGATAGCGCGTCAAAACACAATCTTTACGCACAAAATAGACAATGGTTCTTTTACAACGAGTAAGCATGAGCCACCAAATTTGGTGTACGTCTGCGGCGATGATCTAAAGAAAGGTACAAAAATTCATTGAAGAATTATGTAAACCAGCGAAGTTGTGGACGTTTTTCGATTTTAACCCATTGACGACGATGTGGACGACCACCGGTGGACCACACACTTTTTGCTGCCAGGGACGATGTGGACCACCGGTGGCCCGCACTTCTTGCAAAGTCATATTATTTGTAGGTCTAGTAATTTTTCCACATAATGATATTTTTTCCAATTTTTTGCACTCTTTGGAACTGTAGGCTGCCGCTTAAAATTATATTTATAGTTGTTCGCAAACCAACTTTAAATTAGCACCCTGATTTGGCGCGGGATCAGACAAAGTCACGAGTCTTCCAATTCTCTTCCTTTCTCACGTAAATTTCCAAAATTCTCAACATAAATATATTTCTTACAAGGAAAGGATGCCAGGTCGCAATGGCAAACCAAAATGATATGCATATCATTAGATGCGCTTTGATGAGCTGATTCCAAATCTAGCTTTCCTATCTGCTATGAGCTTCTCTAGAAGAAGCTATGGGAGTTTGAATGTCCAAATTTAGCAAACATTCAGTGCCACATGTTCAAAAACTACTTGTTTAAAGACGCTTACTCATGTGTTCGGTGTATGTATGCCTTTCTTGTAGTCAGTGTACTCAAAACTATGCCAATTGGTCACTCCTAAGCTAGTTTTCAAAGCGCATCACGCATCAAAATCCCAACAATCTCACATCTTTGAACGCCCATAGCTTTTTCTAGAAAAGCTCATAGCAGATAGGAAAGATGGATTTAGAATCACCTCATCAAGACGCATCTATGTAATGATGTGCGTATCATTTCGGTTCGTCACTGCGACCTGGTATCCTTCCCTTGTTAGTTCAAGCTCTATCTATGAGTGATCATCAACCCAAGTTTTGTCCCCTATGCTTTGTTCCGGCTCTTGATGATATAAAAACAGCTTGTTCGCATTTCACTTTTTCTTTGATTTATTCTTGCCTTTTCTCACTTCAATCCACTTTCTTCGTTCCAGATTATTGGAAGAGCTTCTACAAACACTAAAAAAGTATCTCGTAATTTTCTGCGATGTCAAGGAGGACATCGTTTCTCAATTTCTCATATGCCTCCTGCTGGGCCTTGTTCCTACTTCCTCCTCTTGTATTAGATATCCAAGTAGGCAAAAGCGCTCCGAAATCCAAGCCGCAATGAGCATATGCCATCTTATGAGCCATGAGAAGGTCGAACTTACGGCTTCTATAAGCGAGAAATGAGAGCCCTAATTCAGTGTTTAGTCATACAGTTTAGTATGAGATCATATCTGAAGCCAATCCTACGGATGAAAAGTTTGCTCTTGGAGGCACCGATATGATTGCCGTAATGCTTTCAGCATGCTATGGCCTCCGCAGACGAAGTTTTGCGGGATTCGAAGCTTTGGCTATCTCATACCCACAGTGACCCTCTAGAATAACGTTACCGCGTCGCGCGAAGTCAATAAAATATTCGTGCATAGCGTGCCAAATGGCCCCTAAAAGCAAAGTCCCAACAAATTTTAAGAATCTGCGTTTTTGGTCAGTGTGGACGAGGAGAATAAATAGAAGAAACTTTTTGCTATAAAATATTATATGCATGAAATGCATGGTTTATAGCAGATGTCCGCGGCGGGCCGAGCCCGTTTGCGATACGCGTGCTATGCGCACAGGCAACTAGCAGATTTTATGAAATCAAATTGATGGCTTTATCTTTCTAGCACGTTTCTTTTGCACTTTAATAATTAGTGTGGTAAAATAAGCTACAATATTAGATGGCGAATGTTCAGATATCACTGTCTGTCGCGGATCTACTGGCAGCATTGTTCATTGTTCCGCTCAGCTTGTATAGTACGTTGGACCCCACTTGGCGATTTATGGGTGACAATTCCCTTGTGTGCAAGGGTAGTGCGTATCTACAAATAGCTCTATTTTGTTCCACTGTCTACACATTTGCATGGATTTGCATTGACAGGTAATCTCGATTATGTTTTCTTTGGATATGGTCCACAATATACAAACTCAAATTCGTTTTGTCTGAACTTGTGCAGAAGGGAGAGGGGTCATTCGAGATGCTGATTTAAGAAGCTTTACGTGATCTCCTCTCCACTTGGTATAGCTCAACTATGGGGGGGGGGGGGGGGGTGGGGCATGCGACAACGGTAGAAATCAAATCTGCTGACAATCATAATTTCACATGCTGATCATAAATATCATATTCGTAGGTTATGATAACGCATTTTCATAGGGTTACAGTCGTGACTCGGAAGAAGACATTGATTTTACTATGGATATATCGCTTGGAGCAAGCATCTCGTAGCTCCACGAAAAGAATTCATAACAGGCAAAGGTTGGCCCAACAAAGGCAGTATGTATGTGGTTCCAATAACGCCACTCTTGATCCACAAGTAATGCGATGTGTGGCAAGATAAAGAATAGCTGTAAACAGTTGCACTGTACGCGCTTGTCAATAAGCCCCTCACGCGATATGTCCCTCGTTGATCCAAATATAGGAATGATCAGGGTTTGTTGAGCATCGGACATGTTGGAAGTGGTCAAACTAACATGGTGATTAGCGCAATGCATACGGCTGGCACAAGCTCTCCATGTTGGTTGTTTTGTCTTTACTAGACTGTGAAGTCTCTCCGAGAGCCAACGTCTGCGCGAGAAGATTCCAAGAAATACGGTGCGAGTCACTGTTGCAACGCAAACGTATGTTTCTGTAAAAAAAAAGCCTGGTTTTATAGCTTCAGGAATGTCTCGTCCTGTAGTTGTGGTGACTGGCCACTCGGCACAGTCCGAGTTGTCTGCTTGGTGTATAGTCGGGGGGGGGGGGCATCACTTGTGGATGTCAATTGAAAATTGCCGCGACGCAGCGTTACAGTAACCCGCATCGAGAATCCATATTCCTAAAGTGAGGCCTTTACAAAGATTGCGGAATTCCAGGGAAAATGAGCTACTAGTTGTTGTAGTGAACAAAGCTTGCAGTTAGAAACATCGAAATTTTTGAGGAGCGTTCCCCCCCCCCCTCCCCCCCGAGAATGGGTCGCGAAATTCTTTTAAGTTACTTGCATGAGTTATAAAAATGTGCAAGTAACTTGTTTATACTTGTAACTAATTAAAATAATTTTTCAAATTTTTAAAATTCAGTTTAGCCTTAGAAAATTTCGGGGGGGGGGGGGGGGTGAAACCAAAGTTTTTTCTAGGTTCCGACTTCATCAGAAAAATTTTTTCGTCTCCCCCCCCCCCCGAATGGAAATCCTGGGTACGCCACTGCAGTGTACCTATAGCAGCTCTGTAAGACTGACAAAACAGATGAAGGCATTTCTAGCTCAAGCGCAAGAGAGAACTCCTGAAGTGAGTTTCTCCCAGAATAGTCGTCATTTTACTAAAATTCAAACCTTGACAGGCCTTGTGTGTCAAGCGGTCCCACGTGGTAGTCATTTCTTGACACACATGGTGTGTCAAGCGGCCGTCAATGTGTCAAAACTCACAAGTAATGGGATACACCCCATCGACGGCAGTCTTTCATTTTCGGATATTTGGATGAGCTAAGCTTTAGTGAAAACAACTCACCCATCAGCGGTCTGCGTTCGGTGACAAAAGGTCAGGTGGCATAAGTTGGACTCAGAACATTCAGATACGACAGAGAATTTTCTAAACTTGTAAATGCAGAACCACGGCATTCTGTGCCGGCAGACAGGAATGGATTGCGATCGCAATAAAAATCAGCTGCGCCACTTTCTTCATCCTTAATAACGAGATAGTCGACAGTGATTGTAAGTAATCGTCTTCCTAGTGGTACACTCAAAATCTTTGATCAATGAAAGGGGCCAGAAAATTGCTGCGGAATAATTCAAAACATCCACCGCGCCTTAGCCTGGATCGTTCACGCAGGAAGTAGTATAGTTGGCATCTTGTATTGGCTGTCTGGAAAAAGCAGGAGCTGTTGGGCGGCCTGCATACGAAGGCTTCATTCCAACGGGACAGGGATACGCTTTTATGGTATATGAGTCAAAGGCATGTGGAAATGAACTGCGAGCAAAGATATTTATACAATAAGTCATAATAAGTCAGAAGCAAAGGCGTCGAGTCGACTGGCTGGCGAAATCTGAATGGATAGACTGTACGCCTACGAGCAATAACGCAGCCATTTAGCAGTGAAATAGGCTTGCCTATAAATAATGTGGGAATGGTGCCTACTTTTTCAAACTGTGCACTCTCCATACATTTCCTGTCATGATTAGTACAGTTCGAGTTTTACGAATCTATCATGCTGCCTTCGTTGGGCAGTAGATATTACTTTTCTTAAACTCACACAGAAGACCGTATCCAATGGAGTTCACTTGAGTAATCAGCAACTCGAATGAGAACTCCGGTGCTCAAATCTCTGTTATGGAATAGTATCATTTTACAAATAATGAAAAGTACGCACTCTTTGTTCTGTTATCCAATCAAATTTCAAGATATTCGGCCATGATGAAGCCTTCGCGATATGCAGACCAGTCTCTTACACGATGTAAGTGCTGGATTATATTCAGTTGGTTGACATCCCTCCTACTATGCTGTCCAATAGTAGTGGCGCAGATGCAAGTAAGTTGAAGGTATAGACGATTCATGACACGCAAAGGGTGGGCGCCGCTGGGTCCGACCAAGATAGTTCGTGCATGGGAGAGATAGGATGCTAACAAGGAAAGGATACTAGGTGACCCCGGCCATTTGGAATGCGATGTATACCATAAGGTGCACCTCGAAACGCTGATTCTAAATCTGTGTTCCATATCTGCGAAACGATCATATGAAGGCAGTTATGAACTTTTTTCGTAAAAAATTTGCGTACTTTTAGGTAGTTAAAAACACCCAATTTGATCTATTTTACCATTTGAAGCCATTGAGGAGAAACTTGAGAGGTGTAATGTTGTATTCATACCTATCTAAATCATATGCAGCATTTGAGGAGAAAAGAAAAATTTTTATTAATGATTTTCACCCTTCGCAGTAGGGCAATTCATTCTTGAAAAAAATTATAACTCCATCCAGGTTCTCGTTTCGCAGGTATGGAAAACAGTATTCGTACCAGCATTAAAAGGCGCATTTTTTGATATACAAATCATTATAAGTGGCCGGGGTCACCAAGTATCCTTCCCTGTTAGGAGAAAGAGCGCTCAATCAGAGAGACGCCGATACGTCCGCAGTCTTTGCGTGCTATGAATCGCCTATACAGGTCCAGATGCATTTCAGTGTTAGTTTTCGAAGTTGTGAAGCTGTAATAAGCCATAATTTAGGTAATCATTTGGTTGAATATCACTTTTTTAGGTTGTCTTTCTTGAAGAGGCTCAGTTGTGCGTGTTGGATTGGTCCGCGACTTCTGCATACAGTATGACACTTATTGTTCTCGTATTTCTGCCAACTATCGCAACAGTTTTCAACACTGGATACAAAATTATTAGAGCGATGCGGAACCCAGAACAGGCACGTTTTGTTTAAAAATAGGCAAGATAATTTAACTTGCATAGGAAATTCAGAAAATCAAGATATTTTGTGGAAGCCAACTTCCATGCTAGGCACTGCACAAGGGGGTTCCAGACCATATGTCATTAGGACATCTCTAGCTGAATCGCATTCGCCTGCAACACATTTTGCTTCGGTTTTTTCCTAAACCACTCAAACGGGAGTAATTCCTCACATACGCTTTGCGTTAAAGCACTCCATACAGTCCATTTAACAATTTATAATGCAAAACAGCCGTCTTCATGCAAAAACAAATGTCAATCGTGGGTCACACCATATTTGTTCCAGTTAAAGGCAGTGTCCGGCCAAAAAGCCGATGTTGAGATTTTGTGCTTACCCGGTCCTATTCACTATGCTGAATCCGAAAATCCACATTAGAAAGCGCGAGAACGGTGAAAAAGGGCCCTAACGCAGGAGGGAAATCAGAAGTGGGCGGGGCTTCTCCACTGCGGATTCACGCTCTAAGCTTCCGGATCGATCTTTTCGTCCCGATTTCAAGTCATGCATTTGCAGCTGGCCTGTGGAATCTCAGGGCGCTAGCGGAATTGAGAAAATCGCTTCAGAAGCTGGGACCGCGAAATTCACATTGGGGAAGACCCCGTCCACTTCTGATTTCCCTCCTGCGTTGAAGCCCTTTTTCGCCGCTTTCACGCTTTCCAGTATGGATTTTCGAGGTCAGCATAGCGAATAGGCCCGGGTAAGCACAAGACCTCAAAATCGACTTTTTGCCCGGACACTGCCTTTAAGAGACGAGAGGCGCGATTTTGCTGTCACCGACTAGAATTCCAATTTAGCGCTATGCGAGTCTTCAGAAAGTACAAGATAAAGTGCATCGGCTTACTATCTGTCTGAGGTTACCACTTGTTCAGTTTGGTGGCTTTTGCTGAAAAAACCGAAACATGTACAAATTTGTTTTCAACCGCAATTTTATGGGTTTTGACCTTCAAAATTGCTGTCTGAATTGATTTCAAGGTAGCTAGATTGGGCGACCCATGCAACTATCTACCCTAATTTCAGATGTATAAGCCGCATTTTTTCAAATTTTCAAGCGAGCCGCTCTGCCGCTTCACTATGTTCCGGAAAGCGCTTCTTATGCCGCATGATTCTCTAAGGCAGTACGTAGCACGGTATTGGGCCTTTGGTCGCGAAGTCTTCTGGCCTGTTTGGGCTGGTCGATTTAAAAGAAATCCCCTGCGGCATATACACCTATAAATAGAGTAATATATCTCCTGAGATTTAAATACTTTTAAAATGTTATGAAACACTTATCCGGCATAATCGCGCATTTTGACATTCGCCGGATCCCGTTGACTACTTCATGTATTTCCTTATTGGTCGATTCAGTGGTTTGACCAACAGCAAAGTAAATCGAGAATGGCATGTACCTAATGAGTCAGAAAGGGCTCAAAACTGGACTGGGCACAGGTTGCTTACGGGGTAGGCTGAATATCAGTTGGAGGTGAAAAGCAAAGGGGACATCGTTTTTGCTGGGTCCGGAATAGAGCACCGAAAAATGCATGTATCAGCTTAGGGTGTAGGTGAAAGATTTGCCAATTGCTTCATGCAAAACCCGAGTCTCGGGAGGGTGGACTTAATTTTCAAAATGCCTTCTGATCATGCAAGGTAATTTGCTGAACTTCATATGAGACCTATTAGAAGCTGGCCAACTCATCTTTTTCACACCCACACACACACACACACACACACATACACACATACACACATACACACATACACACATATACACATATACACATATACACATATACACATATGCACATATACAATATACACATATACACATACTACCTTGCTTACCCACCTCCGCTCGGCCTTCTCAGAACACCGTAATAAAGGTCCCATCCCTATCCCTGTACAGCCTTTCCTGTGCCCACTTCTACACTTCATTTCCCGTTATTTGTGTTGTTTTCGAAATCAGCATGCCCACTTACCCCCCGTGCCGACTCCCAGCCCTTCAGCTTAAATTATGAAAAAATCGATGAAATCGATAAAAGTAATAGGTAATACTAAAAACTAATATTGTATTCGTAATCAGCATGCTCGATTACCCCCTGTGCCAACTCCCAGCCCTGTAGCTCAAATCTTGCAAAAAAATCGATAAAATCGATATCGACCGATAACGAAAAGAAGCCCACGACACCCGCCGGGGCCCGAAGTGTATGTGTGCCAAGTTTGGTCCGGATCGGTTCAGAAATGGAATTTTCTATTCTGCACATACGTACATACACTCAGACAATTGCCGGGGGTAGGCGGGCACCGGAAAAATAGATTGCTGATCTCTCGCACCCCGCTCGCGGATTTTTTGGAAAGCAATCAGGACTTTTCGGAAGGCCGCTTGCTGAGTTCTCGATTCCTCAGAGATTCAGCAATATATCTGCAAAAGACAAGAGCGAAAAAAAATTCAACAGGCGGTCTCTCAAAAATCCGCTGACTCAGCAAGCGGTCTTCCGAAAAATCCTGATTGCTTTACAAAAAATCCGCGAGCGGAGTGCGAGAGATCAGCAATCTATTTTTCCGGTGCCCGCCTGCCCCTGGCGATTGTCTGAGCAGACATACAGGCAGACATACACATATTCAGCTTTTTATTTAAGAAGGATACACATATACACATATACACATACACACATATATACACACATATACACATATATACACACATATACACGCATATACACACGTGTATACACATATACACATATACAGTCGAGTAGATTTCCTGCTTAATATAGTGTCCCTGCAGACGCGACAACGCTGAGGCGTCAATAAATGCCTTGCGAGTCCCCGAACTAGTGTTTTCCATTGTTTTCTTTGCTTATTTCATGCTTTTTAGTTGATTCGTTGCTGATAAAGAGAAAAAGGGTGAGTTAAAGAGTAGTTTCTGTTTTCTGAGAAGTTCTGTCATCGCATATTCACAGATATTCATGTGGAAGCATTTCGCGTCAGCTTCTTGTCTATTTTTTCTGTCATTTCCTTTTCTTCTGTCTCTTCTTCTTTCAAACCTCCTCCTTATTGTGAGGCGTTTCTTTGAACGCTAGTTGGCTTGCCTTGCAGCAATTTCGGCTTTCATCCATAAGAAATAGCATTTTAATCAGTTACTTTATGTGATAAAGATAATAAGTCAATCGTAAAAACCCACTAGCATTCAAAGAAGTACCTCACACGAAGAAAGAGACATGAATTGACAGAAAAATAGACAAGAAGCTGACGCAAAATGCTTCCATGTGGATATCTGTGAATATGCGATGATAGAACTTCTCAGAAAACAGAAACTACTCTCTAACTTACCCTTTTCTTCTTTATCAGCGACGAATCACCTAAAAAGCATAGAATAAGCAAAGAAAACACTGGAAAACACTAGTTCGGGGACTCGCAAGGCATTTATTGACGCCTCGGCGTTGTCGCGTCTGCAGGGACACTATATTAAGCAGGAAATCTACTCGACTGTACACATATACACACATATACACACGTGTGTACACATATACACACATATATACACATGTATACACATATACATCCATGTATACACATATACACACATATACACACGTGTATACACATATACACACATATACACACGTGTATACACATATACACATATACACATATACACATATACACACATATACACACGTGTGTACACATATACACACATATACACACATGTATACACATATACATCCATGTATACACATATACACACATGTATACACATATACACATGTACACATATACACATATACACACATATACACACGTGTGTACACATATACACACATATACACACATATACACATATACACATTTACACACATATACACACATATACACACATATATACACATATACACACGTGTATACACATATACACACATATACACACATATATACACATATACACATATACACACATATACACACATATACACACGTCTATACACATATACGCACATATACACACATGTATACACATATACACACATATACACACATATATACACATATACACACGTGTATACACATATACACACATATACACACATTTATACACATATACGCACATGTATACACATATACACACATATACACACACTAGATGGCTTACCCGGCTCCGCCCGGCCCTGTCATTGTTTTGTTCGTAATCAGCATGCTCGATTACCCCCCTGTACTAACTCCCAGCCCCGTAGCTCAAACTTTGCAAAAAATCGATACACACAGACAGACAGACATACATACAGACAGACAAACAGACATTCAGCTTTATATATAAGATATACACACATATACACACGTGTATACACATATACACACATACACACACATACACACATATACACACATGTATACACATATATACACAATATACACATATGTATACACATATACACACGGCGATTGTCTGAGCAGACATACAGGCAGACATACACATATTCAGCTTTTTATATAAGAAGGATACACATATACACATATACACACATATGCGCTATACTTTAGAATATTCGAGAATTTTTTCGAATAATCGAATAACCGAATATATTCGAAAATCAAAAATATCGAATAATCGCACTTCGAATATTTTCAAAAACAAAAAATGTCGAATGTTCGAATATCGAATATTTTCGAAGAACAAAAATGTCGAGTAATCGAATATCGAATATTTTCGAAATAGAAAAATTGTCGAATGATCGAATATCGAATATATTCAAATTGAAAAAAATCCGAATACTCGAATATATTTGAGAAAAAAAATCCGAATAAACGAATTTTTGCATGGATTATGTCGAATATTCAAACAAATTTTGATCGAATTAGCACAGGGAAGGACTCCATGCAGTGGGCAACTTGGACAACAAACGATGGTTGCTGGTATAGCAGTCAAAATTGTGACCTTGTCATGTAGTTATTTGATTATACGAAATTGTCGAATAATCGAATAACTT